ACCACCCTTTCCAGGAGGAAATTCCTCCTGAGGAAATTGTTACACCAACACATGAGTGATAACAAACACCAAAATCAACTTCCAGCCACGTCTGGAGTCCAGCCACTTATGGAAATGCCTCTGGAATAAGCACAGCCCAGGGAAATCCTGCTCACAGACATTTTCTCATGGGCCAACAGTTCCACAAATGCTTTGCTCAAATCATGGCAGTTTCTTCTTAACCTTGTGATGGTCCTTTTTACATTTTATATGTGTTTTCTCTCTGCAGAAGATCGTGGGTTTTTCTCTTGTTTGTTCTGGGTATAATTTAGATTTTTTCTCTTGTTTGTTCTGGGTATAATTTAGATTCAAGGCTCTGTTCTGATACTGTAAATTTGAGATTATTACTACACTTTCTCTGGATTTATACAAGTGATTGTTCCACTCCTTTTTTCCTACATACTTTTGCTTCCTCACTTATTTTTAGGTATCTCCTTTCTACTTATTGTCACAGAGTATGTACATAACTTAATCACCACCAATTTCCAGGTTGGGAAAGAGCAACTTTTGAGCCTCTTGTTCTGCCTTTGGAATCTGTTTTTTTTCTGCAGTAAGACCAGAATAACCTTTTAGAAGAGAAATCTGAAAGAAAATAGTCCTGAGGTCAAACAGCTGCACTGATCTTAAGGAGTTCTTAAGATAAATTGACACCTTCCAGGTCCTTGGCACCACAAAATGTGTCATAATTCAAGCTGCAAATGCTCCAGAGTTCAACTCAAATTTGGTTTAGTCACTGTTTTTCCTGTGAAATGTGTTTTGTTTCCTAGACAATCCCAGCCAGACCTTTGGTCAGTGATCCAGCCATTGTCACCTATTCCTTGGCATCTGCACATCCCAGTTCCCTTCCTGCATTTTCCAGTCCTGAAGGTCAAGGTCCAACACAACCATCCCTTCAAACCCAGGCTGGAGCTAAGGCAGCACATGCCACTGCTGAGGCTGCTTCTGCAAGTGGTGGAGCCGTGAAAACACATCCCCAACCTCCAGAGGGATCATATTCCAATAAACTCCCATCACCTCACCCATCAGGGATTTCTGGAAGTGCCACTCAGCCAACCCAGAACCACCAGGATGCCTCAGCTCTGCAACCAAGGCCTCCTGCACTTCCAAACAACAAAAAGCTTCCAAAAGCACTGGAAAATATTATTGCACAGCTCCAGAGTATATTCCCAAACTACAGCAGGTACTGGTTGGAATGAGTGGAATGTTTTAATGGGTGTGATAAGTTCTGCACAGCCAGGGATAAAGTACAACAGGGACTGGTTTTGTTCTCTTTCCAAGGGCCTGGAGTGACAGGACAAGGGGGAATGGTTCAAACTGACAGAGAGTAGGGTTAGATGGGATATTGGGAAGGAATTGTTCCTTGTGAGGGTGCTGAGGGGCTGGGATAGAATTCCCAGAGAAGCTGTGGCTGCCCCTGGATCCCTGGAAGTGTCCAAGGCCAGGTTGGAGCAACCTGATCTAGTGGAAGGTGTCCCTGCCCATGGCAGGGGTTTGGAATGAGATTATCTTTAAGGATGATCCCTTCCAACCCAACCACTCTGTGATTCTGATTATTGTGTAGGGTTTTTTTACAATAAAGGCAGATCCTGGTTACTGAGAGTTCCTGGAACAGGCACCTGCTCCAGTTTGTGGGAGAAGTTGGTGTTTTTAAGGCTCTTCTGGTGGGAATCAAACATGGAGCCTCCAGTGTCGTGTTACCAGTCACTGATCCTTGTTTTTCCTGTCCCTGCAGTTCAGATTTCACTGGTTTTATAAGAGAGGTACAGAGAAGAAATGGGAACACCCTGTCAGGTCTGAGCTTGGATGAGGTTCTGAACCGAGTGACGGAGCTGATCCTGGACCAGCAGAGCCAGGTATGAGGGGGTGGAGCTGCTGCCTCTTCCTGGGAATCTTCTGACAGAGGGAACGGAGCAGCACAGCCCCAAACTACACCAAGTGCCCTTTGCCATCCAGCTCTACATACAAACTCACTCCAAATTCCCTTCTTTGTCTGTTCAGGCACCAACTTCAGCAGGGAGAGTCTCTGCTCCACCAGCCCCGACCGGAGCACGGAGTCGGGAAGCGGCTGCAGAAGGAAATGCCCCCAGTCCCTCCAGAGCAGGACCTGCACCTAAAAACACCTCAAATAAAAACCCACGTCAGCCAAACCTCCAGCCCTGGGGGAATGTTGGAGCAATACCTAAAGCTAAGTGGAAAAAGCAGGACAATGCAGTAAGTTCTCTCTTCCAGTGAGGTCGTTGCCATGTGCTCCGTCCAAGACACGAAACAATGGGGGTATTGCTGGGGGAAAAAAAATAACTGGCTTGTTTATTTTGTGTACAAAAGCTTAAATAGACCTGGTTAAAGTTAGTAAACTAATTGACATAAGTGGAATTTGCTGATTAATTGCTGCTGGCTTTCCAGTAACTGAGCATTCCATGTGCAGGCCTCCAGCGAGGATCCCTGCACGATCTGTCACGATGAGCTGAGCAAAGACTCCTGTGAACTGGAGTGTGGGCATCATTTTCACAGAGAAGTAAGTTCTGGTCTTGTTTTCTGAACTCTCCATTTATCCCTCAGTGCTTAAACTACTGGGCACAATTTGCTTTTTTCCAGCCTTTGGACCCCAGACTCACCCTAAGAGCTGGTTTTACTGTGTCAGAAAGCTTTAGGGCTTTTTTAAAGTAAAGTGATAATGCATCAGAGTGAATTTAAAGTGAGCCTTCAGAGATTAAATCTGGATTGTTTGCAGCAGTTATGGACTGGGCTATCCCTACATTTGCCACCTGATAGTGGGACTTCATGGGAGTAAAAAAAGTCAGGATTATGTTAGAAATAACTCCGTGTTCCTGTCGGTGACTTTTCCCCTTTGCCTTATTTCTTGACTGCTGATTTCTTCTTGCAGAATAAATGGATTAGAACTGGAGAACATTTTTCTAACCCCAGCCTTTGCCTCCTCCCTCTCTCCCTTGCCCTTGCAGTGCATCAGAACGTGGCTCAAGGAACATTCCAGCACCTGCCCCATCTGCCGTGTCCACGCCCTCCTTCCCGAAGACTTCCCTGAGCTTCCTGCATGGAACAAGTGCACCTAGTCCTGGCTTTATTTCAACACTTTATAGAAATAATCATCATCATAATCATCATAATCAGATGCAAAGTGGCTGCAGAGTAACCCCAGAGCTGAGGGACAGCACCAGGCCCCTGGTTTTATTGGCAGTGGTGACAGAGCTCAGGCTGAGTTGGGATTTCACACTTGGCATTAAGGCCCAGACTCCAAGAGCCAGCACTTTTCCTGGCTGCTGCCTGAACGTGGGAAGCTGATGTGGTTCAGGGCTGGCAGCACACAAAACTGGCCTTTGTTTGATTTTTTTTTTTTAAATTTAATTGAAAAGTAGCAAATCTATTTTATCTGAAAGGCCAGAGCATAATTCCTGTGAAGGGGGACCTTTCCCTCAGGTTTATTCCACACTGCAACCAAATTCCAGTATCAAACAAGCAGGAGACCCAAATGCAGAACTGGAAGAGCCAAGATATTCCCTTCCTCTGGCATCAACAATTCCAGTTGAACTGCAGGATTCCAGTCAGGCCCTTTGGAGTGCAGTTCATCCCTGCAGCTCCTCCCTCTGCATAAATTCAAATTGTTTAAATACTGACTTTTTGCAATTTATTGAAGCAAGAATTTTAAAGTGTTCATGTGCATGGAGCTGGAATACAGTGGATCCATTCTTTAATGGATTCTTTAATTCAAACCCTCAAAATAGGATTTGAATTCCCCCCCACTGTTGAAGAGCTGATCTGTTTAAATGGGAATGACAGGATTTTTATTTTGGCTGAAGCAACATCTGTATTTTGTGCAGGAATTGGTCACCAGTGAGGGGCAGAATTTAAACAGCTCCAAGAATGGTTTTCCCACTGCCTTCCGAGTCTGAGCTTGCCAGAGCACCTTCAGCACTGTCACATTTGCCTCCAAGAGCCAAAAAATGAGGAGTAGAGACTGAAAATCTCAAACTGAAAATCAAATGTGGCTGTTGTCTGAATCCAGGCAGCATTAACTGGATTATGAGCTCATTAGCTAATTCTAGGGATCACTTGTTCCCCCCAGTGATAAATATCCTCCAGCTGAAGTTTTAAACTACTCTGTGATTAATCAGTGTATGAACTGGCACTTGAATAAGAAATTAAAATTACTGCTGCAGCTCATGCAGGGTTGGGGTGTGTGTAATATTTCTGCTAAGTGTGAGTTATGGGTGAGTAAATAATTCCATGGAGCTCAAGCACCTTGGAGCCTGAGGAATTCCAGCACTTGCCTCCTTTTCACCTTCCAGTATTTTTGGGGGGTTGCAGCCTCCCTAATCCAGGTGCTGGGGCTGCTCTTTCCACATCCCTTGGGACAACTGGAGTTGGAAGAGCTGCTCTGGGGACTACAAAGAGTGGCTTCCACTTCCCAAAAATCACCCTGTACCATCCCCTGGTCTTAGGGAAAAGTGTGAAGTTTTATTAAATAGCACTTTTTCCCCCCCCAATAAGAGACTGAAATAAAAATTCCAGCTGCTGCTCCCTAAAACACCAGGGCCACCCCTGGAATGACACTGTCCTGCTTGGCAAAGCTGCTGGATAAAGCTACAGGAAATGACTTTGGGGCACTTTTCTTAATTCTGCCTTTTCAGGAGCTCACTTTTACACTTCCAGTTCCCATAGTACTTTATACCTGAGCCTGCCTCTACCCCACAGGGAGGATTCATGGAAAAATTCACAATTAAAATCAACTTGTGGCTGTTCCATTAAAACAACCCCCCAATCCACAACCTGTTTGTGTTGGGAAGGTTCTTTCTTGCCTATAAAGTTCCTTTAAGCTGCACAGTTACAAACAGGTGAGTTTATTCCTCCAACACAGACTCATGTTCCCAATTTGACCAAAATTTCCTCGGTGTTACTTCACTTATTCCACACTGATCCCACAGCAGCACCTCCCAGTGTTGTAGCACCACTTTTTATCCCTTCAAAGACCCTATTTATCATTATATCACAATTCCCAGTATGGATATAACAGGATTCAACAGGTTTAAGGGGTCTTCAAAGGGTTTTGGAACAAGTATGATGGAATTAAATAAGGAGAGAAACTTCCTACGTACTTACACACCAGTTGTAGAAAGCTGCAAAATCATTCCTTCAGGATTTGCCTGAGGAAAAGTGGGGATAATGTGGTTGTTGAAGGCAGAAGGGTCCCTGCCAAGGCTGCCTGGATTGGGAAGTCCAGGTGGGCTCTCTGGGAAAGATGACCAGAGAACTGAGAGCACAAAAGGACCCACAGGGAGTGAGGTGGCTCCAGCTGGAATCAGGCATGGATAAAGTCTCACTTCTCCTCTCAAGAATTTGGGCCTTTTCCAGGAAGTCCTTCCCTGGGTCTTTACATCCTGCAGAGCTTCAGTGGGAAGTTCTCAGTGATGAGATGGTCGTCGTGCAGGAGGACCACGATGTTCACCTCAAACTCTGGGAGAAGGGGAAAAGAAAAGGGAGAATTCCATGGAAAACTGGCTCCTGCCAGCAGGATAAAGGGCAGGAAGGAGCTCCTGCCCTCACACAGGGCACTGCCCCCCAGGCAGAACCTGATCCCACACCTTGGACCCTTCCTGGAGAATTCCTGCCTCGTTCTAATCTTTGGGATTCCTCTGGATTCAGTTGCCAGAGATAAACTGTGACACAAAAGTCTTTTGGACAACAGAGTTCACACATCAAGGAGCAAAATGGCTTGGGAAAGACACCTAAACATGGTGTTTAGAAGCAGGGAAGTGGGAGAATCCCAGGAGAGATTCCTGCCCTGTTGCCAGCATTTAACAGCCTCGGGAAATGAAACTGGACTACAACAGATCTGCAAACTATGGAATAAGAATTCCAGAAGAAGATCTACTCTTTAGATATTATATGGTGTCATTCAAAGCCAAAATCCAATATCAGATCAACAATCAATCCCAAATGGAGACAAGACAAAGCCAGGCAGAGCTAATAAATGAAGGGAAGCAGAAATCAAAATAAACTGAAAATAACTGCCCTTTTTTTAGAGTCTTTGTAACTATATTAAGATACTTCTTATAAATAAAAGTAGCTCCCACACTAACAATTTAAATTGCTATTCAAGAGCTTAAAATGGCAAAAAAATAAGTAAGAATATTATTTTGGGGAAAATCACACAGATTCTGTACCAAGATTCCAACAGGGTGGAGGGAAGAAATACAAACTAGCCAAGTGATTCTTACAGTAATTGTTTGAGCAAGTGAGGAAAATCCTCATTTTCTTAAGAAAAATGCTGGATTTTGGCCACAATCAGCAGGGGAGGAGCAGGTGGTGTAGGTCAAGAAAAGCAAAGTCACAGCCAGACCAACCTTCCTGCTTCCAGGGCTTCCAGCAGGAGAGTGGGAAACAAAACAGAGAGGAAATGGAAAGAGGGGGTTCTCACTGCTGAGGAAAAGAGGGAATTTTATTCTTGGATTATTATTCAAGTGTTTAATTACGTGCAACTCTTAGCAGGGAAAAACAATGACCTGCATTCCACTGTTTCTCCTGTCCCTTTATCATGGAATTCTGTTAGTCAGAAGTAGTTTAATGGTTGCTTAGGGGTTTCTATTGGAAATGTTTGGGCTGTATTTTCTCAATCTGTGACATCCTCTTCAGGAAGCCTCTCCAGGGAAACACCAGGATGTGTTTCCAGGACCAGGATTGTCCCTGGTCCTTCCCGCAGCACCGGATTTATCCCGTTACCTGCCAGAAGCTGAAGGAAAACTAGCAACTCATCCCTGATGGAAACAAAAAAAATGCCTCCAGAGCATCAAGTGCCACACACTCACCAACTTTGAAGTTGGTTGTTTCCAGGGTGGGGCAGGTGAAGAGCCTGGGGAACACCATGTAGATGGGGATGGGGAGGCCCCTGCAGACGTCGCCGTCGGCGATCTGGATGTTCTGGATCTCCGTGGCATCCCGGGCATAACCTTCAGCACAGCCTGGGCAAGGAGCAGAGAGGCACAGGGAGAGCAGGGAAAGGGGAAGAGGTGAGAGAAAGCAGCAAAGATACACTGGGATTGGGGGCAAAAACTTTTGAGCTGCAAGTTAAGGATCATGGAGTTCTTTAAATGAACTGGAATTAATTAAATTCCAGCCAAAGCGCAAACCGTGGTTTTGAAGGTCTTTTTAATGCTCTCTGGCTTGTCACAACATTCCAAATTGAAGCTGAACAAGCACAGGTAATTCCTGGGGGCTGTTCCCCACGTTTTCCATGGACAGGGACACTCACCACAGGTCTCCACTCTGACCAGCTGCAGCTCGATGCTCTTCACGGCGGCCTCGGCGCTTTCCACCACCAGCTCCCCTGTCAGGGGCTGGGTGATCACACAGTTGGTGGAATTGAGGTGCCCTCTGATCAGGAATTTGGGGAGGGAGGCTCTCTGGAAAAGATGGAATCACAAGGATATTCTGAGCTGGAGGGGACCCACAAGGATCACCCAGGCCAACTCTTAAGGAAGAGACACCGTCGGAAGAGCAGACTAAGGAAAAAAACCACCCTACAGAGAATTATCCAAATGTGAAGGAAATGCCCCAAAGTTCCAAGGTTAAGAACTCAGGAGTTCAGAAATGAGCTTCAATAACTTTTTCAATCTGTATCCTCACCCATCTGCATTAGGGCATCTCCACAATCCTCTCCCTTACCATGCATCCCTCCTGCCCATTCCATCCACCCAAGGGATGGACTTTTCCTGGGATGAACTGACAGCACTTGGCCACTACAATTCATCCAGGAGTTGGAACCTTGTGCTGAAGGAGGGAGACTGGCAGGAATAGAATCCCAGAGTGGTTTGGGTTGGGAGAGACCTTAAAGCCCATCCAGTGCCACCCCCTGCCATGGGCAGGGACACCTTCCACTATTCCAGGTTGTTCCAAGCCCGTCCAACCTGGCCTTGGGCACTTCCAGGGATCCAGGGGCAGCCACAGCTTCTCTGAGAATTCTATCCCAGCCCCTCCCCACCCTCACAGTCAAGAATTTCTTCCCAATATCCCACCTAACCCTGCCCTCCTTCAGGCTTCCCAAAGCCACTCAAGGATGTAAAAAAATGGCACAACCAAGGACCAAAATACAGATTTTTAAGGGCTTTTGGCTATCCATGGTATAAAATGTTTTTCTTGGCTCCACTGCCTCCTTTCACTCAGGAAAAGGATACAAATATCCAGTGGTTACTGAACAAAATTCCACCTTGAATTGGTCACCATGATGTGAAAGATGAGGCAGAATCACTTTATTGCTTAGAAAAGTGAGAAAGAAAGGGATAAAAAGAGCTGATTATCTGCAGGGCAGCATTTAATCATTCCCCTGGTCTCACTCAGAATCACACAAACATCACATTTAAAATAAAAGAACAGCAAATCCTTTTACCTCTTTAACATTTTGCAGAGTTTCAGGAGTGATGGTGAAGTCCACAGGGCTGGGCAGCAGCTTCCCCTTCTGTGACTGCAAGGAAGGACAGAGTTAAACTGGGAGCTCTGATCCCCAAAACATCCAGAGAAGATTAAAAACCACAACACTTGGCTGCTCCAAAGCAGCTGGAAAAGCAGGAATACACTCCCTATCTAAAGCAGGAATACCCTCCCTATCTGAAGCATACAGTGTGTTAGAGGGAAAAAAAAAATTAAATTCCACGTTTTTTAATGTATAAATAATTTCATTTTACACGTCCCTGGAAATGTTTCCTTTCATTATTAAATTTGGGCAGGGCCAATGAGTTGTATAAACTCTCCCTCCCTCTCCTTATCCCCCACCAATGGGCTGGACTGGAATTCTTTGTTAGGATCTGCCTTCACTCCTTAAGAATTCCAAATAGCTGCTGCTGCCCAGCTGCAAGATGGAAGAGATTAGCAAAAGATTGGCTGTGTTTGCCCAAAATGACAAATTCTGGCAGAGGAGAAGCTTAAGGGAAATGGTGCATTGAGCACTGACAGTGAGAATTATATGTTCAGTAAAACCTCATTAATTCCCCCTGACTGAGAGATTCATGATTTACTGACTTGTGATCTCAGAAGTGCTGTAGTGGGAACAAGAAATAAAACCAGGAAAACTGCAGGATATGTAATTTTTCACTGTTTTGACAAGTGTGGCTCACTTATAATGTAATAATGGACCAATAAAATGTAGCATAATGTATTTTAGGAAATAATGAAATCTTACCATAAACTTGTTTATGACACCAAACTAAATCTTTTAGAAAGGCATTACAGAGCTAAAATAACATATTTCCACCACTGGTCATAAGTAAAACAAAAGATTCTTATATTCACTGTCCTGTTGGAGTTCAAAGGAATGATACAAACAGGATGTTCCAGCCAGTTTTATATGGAACAAGAGGTGTTTAATTAGGTCTGTACTGTCCTGACCTGCTCTGGACAGGCACAAATCAACATAAACCAGACCCAAATCTGATACAGGAACTTCAAACAACCAGCAAAACATTTCCTGGGAGGCAGTCAGACCTCATCCTACAAGGATTAGGTATTTGGGACAATTAGGGACCACAGAGTGGTCAGGCCTTGGAATAAATGTCCCAGGGAGGTGGTGGAGTGGCTGATTCTGGAAGTGTTTTAGGATGTGGTCCTTGGGGTCATGGATTAGGGGTGATTCTGGTGGGACTGGATGTTCCTGAAGGTCTCTTCCAGCCTTGATCCTGGGAGTCAGGGCTCTAAATCACAACTACTCCTCTGAAGAACAGAAATCAGGAATTTTTCTCTTCCCCACCAAACCCCCATTTCTAGGACAGGCACTGTGGGGGCCTCAAACCTTTGGCTGAGAACTCCTGGGATAATTTGAAACAGTGTTCAGAAGAATGACATCATATTTATCCAACCCCCCCATTGTTCCTGAACTGAGAGCATGAATAAGAGAACAAACTCAGGGCAGTGTAAAACCATCTTAAAATCCAAATCCTCTATGTCCTGTTTTCTTTAAAATCAAAAGAAATGGGTTGTTCTCACCAGAACTGTCAGCTCAGCTCTTTGGGGTGGGTTTGTTTTGGGGTTTGCTTCCTTCCCTCAGATATTTTGGACAGTGCTCTCCTGTGCAGAGCCAAGAGCTGGATTTGATGATCCTTGTGTGTCCTTCCTAACTCAGGATGTTCCCTGATTTTACACTCCTACAAATTCCATGGGTTTACTTGGTTTTCTAACCTTCTAAACTTCACTTAAAGTGGAGGAAAAAAACCCCAAATCTCACTTACCAGGGAGTGGACAATGAATTCACAAGTCTTAGTCAGGTCCTTTGCCAGCAGAGACCGTCTCATGTCACACCTCAGGGTGTACTGGTGGGAATGGGATGACACAGGGAAAAGAAGAGCTTTAATTCAGATTTACTCTCTCTCCAGTTCAGATTTATTCTCCCTCTTTCAACTTTTCATCCTTTTTGTTGCCTCTGTGCAGAATGTTGCTGCTGTTACCTCCAGCTCAGGGTGATTATGGAATTGCTTTCCCCCTCCTCTCCTCTGGATAAGGGATTATTGACACAATGTATTCACAACCCTCCTAATTTTAAATTTCTTGCAAGGGTTGAGCTTAAGTGGTAACAGTTCTGAGGGTATTTAATGGGGAACTGTCTTTAACCACACAGCTGAGCTTAAAGTTTGCAGTGCAATCAGGCAACGAGGTTAATTTGCTGCCAAATTCCTCCCCTAAAAATGGGAGCCATAAACCAGCCAGCTGAAAATAGTTATCCCAGTAATCCCACACTTCAGCAGCTCTAACAAAGCCTCTGAGTGTCCTTACAGGACAGGGAATTTGTTGGGATGGGGGTTTTGTTGTGGTTTGGTTTGAATTCCTTCTTTCCAGATGAGGAACTGGCAAAAAGAGGTGCCCTCAGAGCAGGGATTTGGCTTCCTCACTTCTCCTTCATGGCCCCAAACCTCCCCATCAGTGGATAATTAAAAGGTTTCTGCATGAGAACAGAGACTTGAACCCACAACTAATCCCTAACTCAAAAAAGAGAGGCTTAATTAAACTGCCCAGGCCTTGGACAGAGGTTTAGGAAGTGCCTCTTAACCAGCACCTCAGTGTTACATTTTCCTCTTCAGGAGAGCAGGACTCAAAAGTTTGGCTGAAATCTGAATTATTAATTTTTTTAAATTGCATTTTATCCCCCAGCTTGTCAAGAGAAGCTACACAGAGGAGAGAGGGAATGACAGAACAAACCAAATATTCCCCATTTAAAGAGCACCTTAAACCAACTGCTGCTGATGACAGCAAGTTATTTGGGATATGGGAAGCAACTGAACCAGTTCTGCACCATTTCTGACAGACCCACCACAAACAACATATGTTCCAAAACCTGAAAAAATAGATGGGAAGTCCTTAAAAAAAAAAGACAAAAAACCAAGGGACTTTTTTTTCTTTTAGTTACTTCTGACAGGCTGATGGGGGGTGGTGTAGTTAGGTTGGTTTTTTAATTCCACACTGTAATAAAAGAATTAACTGTCTAACACAATATTTACCTTCAAGAGACGGGTGAGGAAAGGCTTTCCCTCAAAAATAAAAGCAAAACAACCCCCCAAAAAAACCCTAAACCAACCAACCCACTTATAGTACGACAATGTTTAATCAAAAAAGGTCCAATCTCAAACTTGTGGTGGTTCCACAAGATTCTGTCAACAGCACAAATCCCACACAGATTTGGGCAGGGAATGTTATTCCTCATGGGAAAGCAAACAATCCCTGGTTTGGAAGCTGCCACGAGCTCTCAACACTTTGGTTTGAGTTTTCCTGGTGAGATTACACATTTATTTTGAACAAACCCACACGGGGTGCAGCTGTTTTGCAGGAAGGGGATGGACACTTTATCCTCAATTCCCATGGATTAAGAGATGCTTTAGAACAGGTTCTGCAGCTGAAAGGGCAGATTTTTATGGAGAGAAGCTCACCTGGATGTTAACAAACACACCATGGTATGTCTCATACAGGACTTTGTTCCCCTTCATGTGCAGTGGGAATTCAAAGGGAATTTCTGTCTTGCCACTGGGAAGCTTCCCTGGTTTTACCATTTCAATGGTGCTGTTAATAATCTGAATAGGCTGCAAAGAGAAATAGTAGGGAAGTTTAGGTTGAAACAGAGAACCAACAACATCCACTAAACTCTAACAGACTTCCTGGTTTTCCAGAATCTCAGGTACCTCTTCACAACACACAGTGTTGGGATATTTCTTTACAATGAAAAGAAATATTAATATTTTCCTCAGGACAACCATTTGTGGTCTGTTTTATGGCTGCATCACACTAATGACCAGAGATATCCAGGGAGCTCCATCAGCAGCATCTCCAGCACTCTGGAAAGTGGAGTTTTGCTTGGAGGTGACACTTCTTTTCCCTCTGGAATTTTATT